CCCTCTTGCTCCCAGAAAGCACACAACAAACTTCTGGTTGGAAGGAAAAAAAAAAAATCATGGCTTGTCCCAGCTCAATTTGGCATGGTTTGCAGCAGGAAAAGAATATTAATTGCGTTTTTAAAATAATCTCTTCAGCTAGCAGCAATAAACTGTAAAATCAGCCTTAATGCTGGGAGCTAGGATCCCTGCTGGTTTGCAGCAGAGTGGGTTGAAGGAGGAAATTTTGAAAACTTTTTTGGATGGCAGGAAACGTTGGCACTGCCACCACCTTCACAGCTATTGTCCCTGATGAATCTGGCTGCTGCCGCTTCCTCAGCCATACAGGGCCTCTATAGTCTCTTTTCTCCCTTTGTTGAATGCTTTGATGAGAGGTTCAAAACTTTTGTCCCTGCTATACTTAGTACCTCTCCTTGTGTGTAATAGTTTTCATTCCCTTCCAGATGTTATAGAAGTCCAATAACTGCTCTTGAGAGCCAAGACAGATGTAAGCTATTTTTTAAAACACAATTCAAGCCAACTTTATTCCTTTGAGATGCAAAAATATAATGCAGTGTTATGAATGCCTTTTAATGCCATAGAAATGCAAGAATAAGTGCTATAATAATCATTAGATTATTTATCATCATCTGTCAAAGCCAAATCATAGCTCTAATAGCAATCACCATGGCTGGGCTCCAAAGCAATTATTATCAGGGACTTGCTCCAAAGTCCAAAGTCAACAAGAAACTTTTTCCCCACTGAGTTCAGGGTACTTTGGAACAGCCTCCAAACTTCCTAAGCTTGCAGAAGCTGCCTTTGGTCCTCCCAAAGCCAACACTCTCAACAGAGAGGTTGCTGACGATGGAGATACTTAAAGAAAGCAACGTCCACAGCACTGCCTGGGGGAACTGTGGGCAACCACTTTTAAAAATGAATTCAGTCTTTTCCTTGTTAACTCCTTTTGCTGTACCCCTTAAAAAAAACTGATGCTGATCAGTGTTCCTGTTCATGCTCAAGGATCCTGCAAAAAGACAGTGACTGTTAATTGCCCTGTGTTGACCTGGGTCAGAAGTGCTTGAATAGGGTGTGTCACTAGGCACATGATCTTCATCTGCTCTGATTAAATTCTTATCTGATATCCAATCATCAGAAGAGGCAATATTGAAAAATAAGAAGCAAAACCCCCAAAACAGTCAACAGTGACCACGGGGATGTATTTTCCTCTCGCCAGAAAAACCTTTTGGAAATCAGAGAATCACGGGATCCCAGAATATTCTGAGTTGGAAGGGATGTGAAAGGATCATCGAGTCCAGCTCTTAGCCCTGCTCAGGACCATCCCCAAGAGTCACACTGTGCACCTGAGTATAATCCAAACACTCCTTGGACTCTGGTAGGCTTGGTGCCATGACCGTTTCCCTGGTACGCTCTGGAATTGTTTAAGCAGTTGACAAATAGAACAATCAGTGCAACAGTCTGCTTATCGTGTCATCTGGAACAGCATTACAAATGCAGCACTGTAGCTTGCAAGATTTAGCAGTATTAAAACTGGTGTAAACACAGGGACAGCAATAGGTCTTAAACCTGCCAAAACAAGTTGCTTTGTACTCATCAGTGCAACCGTCACCTCCCTTCAGGCCTGCAGATAACAGCTTCCAGCTTACACTCCTGTTTCAGTTTCCTCAACTGAACTATTATGTTTAGGGTTTCAGCCCTCAAACCCACAATATGGCCCTTAGATTGCCAAGACAAAGCCTCAGTGACAGTTCTTGCCAAGTGTACCCTGTTGGGCTCTCCAGGTTATCCAGGTTACACTGAATTCCTGCAAGGGAGAGTTCAGCCCCGTTAGCAACCTTGTCCCACACGGAATCTGAGGGCTCTTCACAGAACTGACTTGACAGTGGGGTGCTCCAGACTTACACCCTTCTTATTTGGCGCCTGCAGCCCAGCCCATGCCCACCCAAAAATGTCCTTGAGGGGAGTCGGCACACAGTTACACCCCAGGGAGCCAGGCCTGTGCATCCAGGCACCACACACCCAGCAGATTCCCCGAGATATGTGCTTCTGACTCACCAGCTTGCCAACACAGCAGGCAAAGCCTAGCACATTTATAAATAATCTGTGGGAAATTCAGGGGAAACCGTGGTTTTCCTCCCTCACAGGAGCTGCTTTAAGCAGGAGCTCCTTCTTCTTAGATGTTTTTGAGTAACTCTGCAGCGCACAAGAGCTGATTCCAAATCAGATACCCGAGGTGTTCAGTGGGCAGACAGGAGTCTTCACATGTAGGTACCAAGAGGAGAGCAAGCATCAAGAGCATCACAAGCCTGTGCAGCCTGTGCTGAAATCTACGCTTTAGTCTCATGTCTTTTAGTTTAAACTTAATCTGGACAAATCTCCGTGCCTCCTTCTAAGCTGGTACAACTGCTGCACCCCAAAGCTCTGGGTTTTGATGGAGCAGCAGCAGAACTTTTTCAAGTCAGTGAATTGAAGCATGACATCCAATCCTAAACAAATCTTTCCACTGGACTATGTCACAGCTCTCCCAGCAGTTAAATACTTGGAGATTATGACATTGCCTCCAAAACACATCATTCCTTTCTAAACGTCCCCTGGCACAACTTGAGGCCGTTTCCTCTTGTTCTATCATTTGTCACTTGGGAAAGGAGACTCATACCCACCTCACTACATTCAGGTAGTAGTAGAGAGTGAAAGTCTCCCCTGAGCCTCCTTTTCTCCAAGCTGAACAACCTCAGCTGCTTCTCACAGGACTTGTTCTCTAATATCAGAACAACAGGGTAATTTTAACTTTCCGTATCTCTCATGGGCCATAATCAGAGCAAACAGAATTCAGGTGATCTTGAAACCTACTGTCTTAATAGGGGTGCTCTGCTGGAATGTTTATCACACACACTGACCAGCAGCTCATGAGCATCAACTTGGGAATAACTGTGCTAGTATTTTACTCTGTACATTGTTGGCTGTTAATACAATTTCCCTTAATTCCCTCACAGAATGTCAACTTATTCTGCAAAATCAGAGCTTTCCAGTATAAAGAAACAGTTCTAGGCTAAAGTACTGCATCAAAAATGTGAGAAGTGGCCCAAAATCTTCTCCTTTGGCCATCCATGCTCAGTTCATGTAGTGACTTTTCAGGTGGTAGTTTTGAACTTTCTGCAGCAAATTGTCACTGAAGCAAAAGGAATCCAACCCCACTGTGTTTTCACCAGTGCTCATGGCAAGCCCAAACCCACAGAAAGGTGACATCCAGCCTCAAGTGAACAGAACAGTCAATTAGTGCTACTCTGACAGCAGGTCTAAACAAGTGAATATATCGTGTATTTTAAAAAAGCCAAGTCAGTCAGAACCAATACTTAGCCAAAACACAAGGACAATAGGACTGTGATGAGTACAAGGGATAATCAAGTGCTAATCAGTAGCAAAATCTGTAACCCTGAAGTAATGATAGAGATGTCAGAGCAAGCAGTGGTTATTCATTGCCCCTGTATAAATCAGCTAGAATATCATTAGCCATTACCTTTTCAAGCCACATGGGCAAAGAAAATTCCTGATTATTATGGTAGATTACAGGACAATCCAATTATTATTCTCAGCATAAATACTCCTTGCAATTAACGGGCAACAGTGTTAAACTCTGCTGACATATTTTCTCCATTAAAACTTAAAAGCAAGTCATTGAAGATTTTGAGCAATCTGGCAACCTCTGCACAATTAGCTGGGCTTCAAAATGGTAATTAGCCCATTTTAGGAGATGTGTCCTCTTGATCCTTATGTCCTAGTAATAAACATAAGTGTTTGTGTTTCTATTGCTGTGTGATTATCATGTATGAAACACTAGTTCACACATCATCCTCAAATTCACGTTGAGCAATGAAAGTGTAACTAAAATAGATTAATATTTGGGATGGGTTGGTAATCCATTGGTGGGATAAGGGATAATCAAAAACCTCCTCCAGGAAGGAAAAGTAGGAGGCCAGGTCTTCCTGACTCAACCAGTGGATGAGAGTGCAATGCATGTTGCTGGATTTGTTACTGATTTGGTGTACCTTGAGACAAAGATCTTAGTAGAGATTGTGAATGGTACTTCATCTTGTAAACAACAGAAGTTGTATTTTAATGCAGTGAGCCATATAGGACAGGACAGGGGATTGATTCTTGATGCAACTGCATTGATGATTACTTTTATTCCTCCTGCAAGAGAAATCAGCTCACCCTGAGACTTTAGAAGGTGTTCTCTGGGTTCAGTCCTCTGGCCACTGTCAGTGCCAATCACCCATTTCAGGGAGTCACCTGGGAAAGTCAAGGGAGCCAGTGTTTCTTCTTGCAGCTGTTGACATTCACTGGGTGTCTTGGCTGTGGCTGTCCCTGGTGAGCAAGGAGTGGCACTGGAGAGCACCTGCTCTGCCACCCCTGAGACGTGGCAGTGCTGCTCTGACATGTCCCACTGCCCTGAACCCACCTGCTCTGGGTCCAGCCTGGAGCAAACTGTCAGGAGAGGGGTGCTCAGGGATGCAGAGCTTACACTGGGGGGACCCCAAACTGAGCAGGATCCAACAGCGGGGAGATTCTGACCACTTCTCTCCCTACACTTCAGATGTTTTTGGGGGACCTTGGGAACGCACCTGCACTTTGGCACTTCCAAAACACAGCTCCAAGCACCCCTGTTTGAAACAACTTGGTAACACACACGACCCAGACTCGCTCAGAGGGCTGTCAGGCTCCACCACCCCATCAGACTCGCTGCTCTCAATCACTCCCTTCATCTTTGCTTCAGTCGGGCTGAGGGGGAACCCAGCTGAGGGGAATCAACCCGTGGACGGGATCTACCCGGCACGACCCCTCAGTCTCCGCGGGGCAGAAGGGGTGAATTGGGTCAGAGGTGTCGTTTCACGCCGAGAAGCGAGGTCTCAGCCCGCTCCGGCCCCCAGGGACATCATCCGGCCCCGGGGGGACCCGCAGCTCCCGGGGGGCGGGCAGGGGGCGGGCGGGGGCGGTGCGGGCCCGGCCCCCAGCCCGCTCGGGCGCTGCCGTGCGGGGAGGGCTCGGCGGAGCGGCGGGCGCCGAGCTTTAAATGAACATTAATATCGCTCGGGGAGGGCAGCACCGGTGGCTCGGGACGGGCGGCGGCGGCGGCGACAGCGGCACCTCCAGCTTCTCTTTCTCCTCCTCCGCCACGGTGGCAGGTAGGTGTGCGCCTTCCAACGCGAACTTCAGCCCTGCTCCGCGGCCCCGAGGCGGGCGGGCGGCGCTGCTCTGCTCTGCCCCGCGGGGGGACATCGCGGTGTCCCGCGCCCTTCCCGCCGGGATGCTGAGATGCCGCTGGGATGCTGAGATGCCGCCGGGATGCTGGCGGGGGACGCAGCTGCCCCAGGGGGGACGGAGGCTGAGGCGGCATCTGCCCGGAGGGCTGCGGAGCCCCCGCGGGCAGCGGAGCGGGGCGCGGAGGGGCCGGGGGCGGCGGGGGTGAATCCCCCCGGGAACGGCCCGGGAAGCGGCCGCCTGTTGCCGCCGCGCTGGTGGCGGTGCGGGAGCGCCGGGCTGGCGATGTCGCGGCTCCCACGGGCACGGGCAGCTCCGTTTGGGATCTGCGGAGCCTTCCCCGGTCCATGTGCGCCTTCACCCAGCGCTGTCGGTGCGGCGGAGCGGGACCCGCGGGGGTCTGCGGGGGTCTGCGGGCGCCCCCGGGCCCCCCGCTCAATTCAAACCTGGAACGGCCTCACCTTAATAATAAAAGTTATTTCCAGAAGGTGGAGTGTTTTTATTTTCTTTCGTTTGATATTAAATGCGTCCCCATGCCCTCGGTTCGTCCCTGGCACGGCGCGGATGTGGAAACACAAAGTGTCAGCCCAGTGCTGTGTTTCTGGCTTGTTGGGAATGGATTTAAAGCTTTAGTTATAATTTCAGTTCGTCTGTGGGCTTTGCTCGGTTGCTTTAGGACTCGTTTAAACTGTATTTTCAACAGAGACGAGTGAACTTTAAAGAAAATCAGGTCAGGCATAGATTCCGGGCATCAAACCCTTTCAGGTCCCAGAAATAGCCACAGAAGTAGCGTGACCAATTCTTTTTTCATGCACAAAGCTTTCTTTTTTATTTTGGCTGGAATTCCTGACAGATACCGGAGCTCATCAACTGGATATTTCCAGCTTACTTTAATGAAATAAGCATGCTTTCTAAGCTTGCATTTTTATGCCAATTATGTTAGTCTCCCTTGATTATACGAGGTTTGAGTTTCTGACTGAGCTTGTAGTTCTTAAAATAATAAAGTCTGTTCAGCACAAGATTTTTCTTTGTGCATTTTTGGGGCTTAGATCTGTGGGAAAGCAAGAAAGAAGGTGATGAAACCTACATTAGCTGTTATGAGGTAAAACATGGACATTAATAGAAAAGGTTCAGAGGTTTTATTTCTAATGATCTGCTCTTGTAACATAGGTGTCCTTAAAGTTATTGTATCTCTTGTAAAGTCTTGAGCAAGAACTGGCAAATATTTATCTTGCAGTAAGTGGGTCAGATGATAACATCTTCCACTGGATCTCTTACTTCTGTATTGGGCAGCTTTGGTTGCTAAGTAGCTATGAATTTCTAATCCCAAAGTCAATGATGTCATAATGACATCATCACATCCTTTCACTTGATTGATTCTCATAAGAGAACGGTAATAAGATTTGATATACATGTCCCATCTCTTTAATATTCTTCCTCTGCTTCAGGGGATTTCCTGACCTGCCTGGCAAATTCCAGTGAATCACACTGAGCTCTAGTAAAAAGACTTTTGGAGACGAGGTGGAACATTAAAGGGACAGTGGCTGCTCCTGGTCTTTTCAAAACCTGAGGAACTTGGCAGTTTATGTTTTAAATGTGGAGTTCTGGATATGGAGAGCAGTGAATTAAAGCTTGGACTTACTAAATCCCTGTGCAGGTGCGAAAGTGACTTGAATTTCAAAGACACTTCAGCACCGTTGAGAATCAAGTCACTTCATGTGTTGTGTATCTACTTTAGGCAAGGCAGGGGGCACAGAGAAAACATAAGCTGTTTCAGCTGCCAAAATAAATTTCGCCTCTAATGGTAAATGGATGAAATCCGTCAGAAATTGCCACGTTGATGCCATGTTAAGAATGATACTGAATGATACTGAAGACAGCACAGAATTATTTGTCTAATTAGGTAACATAATTTAACCATTGGTAAGCTTGAAGTATTTTAATAGCAGCACTGCCATCTTAGGGAAGTCCATGTAAGAGAGTTTTAAATATTTAGAGTTTATAGAATTGATGCCTTTGGTTTCTTCTGAGGTTAAAGGTACAAGTGTTGTCATTTGATGATGATGATGAGCATGGACTGCTAGTTTTTACAATTTATTTTTATTATGTGTGTCCGTTTGAGCATGGGTCTGCGTGAATTCTAGGTTGTTGTTTTCCTGATAAATAATTTTGCTATTGTGAATTTCTTCATACCTGGTGAGTCTGAAATATTGCAGACAGGGCTTGTGTGTTCCACATGCCCGTGGAAAAGGGAGAAATCGAAGCAATTTTCACGTCTGCTTTGTTGAACGTGTAGTTTCGTTTGGTAAAGTTAAAAGCTGAGTCTGCCTCATAACATTCAGAGACTGCATAAACCAATCTCGCTCGATTCATGAGCATTGTAGGTTGCTGAAACATATTTCGAAAGTAAACAATGATTTATTAGCACGGACGAGTTGATGGTTAATGTGTTTACTGAAGAAACTGACTGCTGAGGTGGTGCTTCTATTATTGCCAAAGTACTGCAGCGTTGATGGCACTATTAAGTATAACAGAGTAGTAATTGAACACGAGGAGTGGGAACAAGTAGGTAGGTGGTGGGAGAAGATGTTTTTGTATATTCGAATCTATTCACCATGTAAGTGCAAACCAAGCTCCAGATGCAAAAAGGAGATTTCTAAATAATCTGTAAGAATTCTGCACTCATCATCCTATACACAGTGACAAATTTCCACAAGCTTCAGGTTCTTTCTGGGATGACTCAACCTCGAACAAGTGATTTGGAAAAAAAAAATATTATCTCTGAAGAGAATCCTTGGTGACAATTTCTTTTCAAGTTATCTTAGGATTTTTCTACTTGCCATGATTTCTTCTAACTCGTGCTTTGCCTTGAACATTGGAGACGAGAAATGAGTTTGGACTTGAGGATAAATCTGTGCCTTTCCCCTGCGTGTTAGATGGTCATCTGTGACATTTGCGTGGTTGTGCTCTAAGTGCGGTGACACATTTGGTTACATAAAGCGCAGAAAGCCGTGCACCTCAAAGCCTTCCCGAATGCCTGTAGAGGAAGGTTGATGCTGCAGTTCTGACCTCTTTGAGCAGGCGACGACAGCGGAGACGTGGCCAAATAAAGACAGTGAACGCTCAGAGTCGTGACAGAGCTCGCTTAACACCCAAGGTCAGTCGTTGCAGAGAGCTCAGTAAAACAATGGACAAGGCAACGAGGGCAATAGCAAAAGCAATCTTTAGATTTTTGTTGTCTGCTGCGAGACTAAACTGGGCTCAGATCACGGGTGAATTATCTGGTATCTGGCTTAAATAAACCACAGCCGAAATGCTTCAGAACTTCTGGCAACTGAGACATTCTGTTCCCCCGCTTCCAGGAGCGTGTCCTGTGACTGGCAGTGTGAGGACAGCCAGCGTTTCAGCCCCAACTTTTGCTTCTGTCCTGAGCTCTGTGAGAGAATACAACGAACTACCAAGTGGATTATTGGATTTACCTTTTTTTTTTTTTTTTTTTTTTTTTTAGATTTTTAAGGGGAAAATAATACCTATAAAATCTGACAGTTTTGCAGGCCACTTCTTGTGAGCCTTTTATAAGGGCAACACTGGCAGCTGGATATTCGAAATGTGTTTTGTTCCATCAGATTAAAAGGTAGTTTGGTAATTAATGCACCTACATCTGGATCTTCTTTACTTATGGAAAAAAAAAAACCTGCCAGAACACAGACAGGATTTGTCCCTTATACACTAGGAAGTAAAAAAACAAAAGTGTATTTCTGTATGTTAATTCTGCCCTCCTTCCTCTTATGAAGGCACTCAAAGAAGGAAAGTCTCACAGCGTACCATGAACAACAGATTGTTTCTCTACAATAAACCCTTGGGGTTTGTATTTTTTTGGTTGGTTGGTTAGCTTGGTTTGTTTTGATGGTTTTGGTGTTTTTTTAAAAAATTTTTGCACAAATGCATTTTTCAATCATTTTATTTGTTCAAGATGTGGCCAACGTGCAGCTTGTGAGCACAGAAGAGGCTGCCCACGTCCTCAGCAGCAGAGCTGATGTAATCTGCAAACCCAGGACTGAAGGCTGCCTCAGTCGCGCTGGCAGAGCTGGAACAACATCAGCTTGGGAGGTCACGCTTTGGCTTTTTCCCGAGGAGAAGGACTCAAACCATTGCATTAACATTCCGATAGCTCCGTGTCGCTCCTCCAGTGTACCAGAAAATGCCGCTGTTTCCACAGCAGCTCTGCTTTGTTCAGTTAATGACAGCTCTGGCACAAAAGGGGCCTGTGGGTGCAGGGAACCCACGAGGTGTAACAGGTACAAACCCTCCGCCTTCAGCCGTGATTGATGCAGTGCTTTGAGTAATCGCTGTGGTGCCTCACAAGTCCCGTGCCTAACTTATCTGTAGCAATTCCGACCTGCCGCTGTTGACTGCTTAGGGGAAAAACCCAAAACACCAACACAAAAAGAAAAGCCAAAAAACCCCCAAACAAAGCAACAAAACAAACAACAACAAAAAAACCCTGAGAGAAATAAAGTCAATCCAGATGTAGTACCTAACATTATCTATTAGATATGATAAAGCTTCTATTTAAACATATTTGCGGTCACAGAGTCACAGAATATATCATTCCAAAATCACAATAATATCTGAAAGAGTTCATTGTCCAAGAATAGAAGTTATTTAAAATCCATGAATACATTGATTTATTAAGCTGGAAAACTTTGATTTTATTCCAGTTCTGACCTTTATATTTTTAAACATGTGATATGTTGAGAGCAAACTTAGTGCTGATTTTAATCTGAAACTCTGTCTTACAGTAGTCTCTATTGAAAAACTGAATCTTTTTTGTGTAGAATAACAATTATTTTAATGTGTAATGGAAAACATACAGTGAAAAATCAGTGCTCTTTGTACCAATTGTAAAATCGTGTAACAAGAGAAAAGTGTAGTAAGAACAATGGATGAAAAACTCATGTCAGTGGGGAATAAACACAAAATTTCCTTTTGAAAAACAGATGCTTTCAGTTACCAATCAATGTATTCCTTTCAACACATACTAGAAATTTGTGAGGAAATTCTCCCAGTCTGATCTCGAACTCCGCTTGTGCAAGGAATTCTGATTTCCCACCTCCCCCTCTTTTTGAAGTAAAATAGATTAAACCGAGCTCAAGATGCAAAGTCTCTTCCCAGAGAAGCTCGTTCAGTGCTTTCATCCCTTCACAGCAGTGGCTGCTGGAGGGGAAAAGTTTGTGGAGTTTGTGCAAAGAGTTTTCTTCTGAAATGTGACTTATGATGTGCATTTGAAGGTAGAGGGAGCAAACCACCACCCATCCCACCTGAACCTCTGGATTAGTTCCTTTGGGGGTTCCGTGACACATCTCAGGGAATTGGTTTGATTGGTGGCTGCTTTGGTTTGGGATTTTTTTTTTTTTTTTCCCTGGCTGAAATGTAGTGGGGACTTGGTTTCACAACCGACACAGTGCTCAAAGTGAAAATACTTTCCTCTCCCAAGGTGCTATTGCAGTTTAACAACTCCCTTAATTTCAGGCTACAAATGTTTCCCCACAGGACCGTTCTCTCAGAGAAGCTGAGATGAAACGAGGCAGCTGCTTTAAAAACAAGTATCACAGGAATAAAACCTCGCCTCCAGTTGTGGCCATAACAAGGGGGGCACTGTTTAGTATTCTTCTCTTCCCCAATTGTTTTTAAAGGCTAATGAAAGCCTAAGGAGACACTCAGACAGTCACACTAGCACAAATCCCTATTATTGGCCTGATGATGAGCCTTGGTGCTGAAATATTTGCATGCTGCATCTTTGTTGCCTTCAGTAAATGCTACAAATAGCAGGAAGGGATAGATAAAATGGCACAGATGCTTTAATTATGATTTGATTACAGAGCAACCAGAGGAGTCTATTCTGAGGAATGTGCAATTAGAGAAAATTCTGAGGACTATCTAACCTTCCGAAATTAAAATTAACTGGGATTATTTGAACAGGGCTTTAACACTTCTGAGAAAAAAAAATACCGTTCCTCAAGGATCTTACTGCTCGTGTGTGATAGATCCTCTCCAGCTTAGCAGATGGGCTTCAGGGTAACACAATGTCATCTTCCTCAGCTGTGTGTGCTGCTTTGCCTCACCTCACAGTCCCATTTTAGCATCCCTTGCTGGTTGTGGACAGGAGGGTGAAGCAGAAACTGCACTTGGACTGGAAGGAAACAGCCATCCCTGAGTTGAAACACATGAAAAGGAAGAGCAGTTCAAGCACTCCTGGGTCATCTCTCCATTTCTTCTCCGTGAAAACAAGAGTTTTCCCATCTCACAAGCAAGGAAAATAGGAGTTGTGCAGTGCTCGTTACGCAGGTTCCAAAGGGAAGGCGCAGATGGAAAATTCCATGCCTTTTCCTCTTGCAAACTCTTGAATAGCAGGAACCTATATGATTAAATATGTTAATCTTCTTTGTGGGCTTAAGTGGTACAAACGACTTGAACTTAATTCCATTGATTTCCCTGGCTGTCAAACAGGAGCAGAATTCAAAAAATCTATCCCAGAGCTGACCAGCAGCCTCCAAAGTCAAGACACTTAAATCTTATGGAAGTTACGTTCTGGGATAGTAATCGTGGCTTTCTTCCCTGTTTTGGGCAGGCAGCATCATCTGGAATTGAGGGGGGGGCGGGGTGGAGATCTTGGACCTGGAGTGAGCAGAGCAGAGGGACACACCTGCAGAGGGAACAGGAGCTGTGGGGTGAGGACACGAGCAGCTCAGGAAGCTCTCAGGTTGTGAACTGCAAACAAGTCATGTCTCACTTGCTTTTCCTCGATGTTTAGCACGTGCCTGTACCCACAGGAGGGTGTTGTGTGTTTTTTTTAATATGATTTTCTGCAGAGCCTAATATAAAAATATTTATGCCTTATGCTTGAAAAATTATACTTCAAGTGTATGTCAGCTCTCCAGCCTGGAAGAACAGGGTCTGCCAGGGGCCCTCCTGGGCTCTAGTTTGGGATGCAGTGTTTGCTTTGGGGCTGGAGTGTGGCAGCAGTGGAAGGGAGAAAGGCTCCTGCTTGAGGGTGCTTTGTGAGCCCTGCTATTGCAGAAACCATGGGAAAATGGGCTTTGCTGCTGCCTGGCTGCTCTGACAATGGATGGGGGTTGTGAGAGGGGCACAGCTGGTTCCATTTGTCTCCATGGTGGGTCTCTGCTAATCACTGACCTTGCTTTTGACCTTGTTTACCTTCAACAGCAAGGGCTCCAGCTGACCTGACACTGGATGTGGCCAACACAGGTGATAGATGGGGTCCAAGACACTTCAAGAATTCCTGTTCTTTCCCAACAGGTGCTGAGCACAATTAAGCCAAAGATCAGCAATGGATTCAGCAGCCTCTCAGTCTCCTTTGTCAATTGTAAAGACATTTTCTAGTGTAGTGCCTTCTTTATTTATTCTAACATTTCTCTTTAAGGGCATTCCAACCCTCCAACTTCAAAGTATTTCTGTTCCTACTGACCCATGTGTATTTCCCAGGGATAAAACCCCCTAGCCAGCAACTTAGGGATGATTTGTCAAGGGTCACTTTAATAAATTAGGTTATTTATTTTCTGCCTGAAATTCCCTCGTTGGTGACTAAGAGAAACTTTGTATTAAGCTGTGCAAAGCATAATGAGGTTGCTGTAATGCTTTGATGTGGAAATGCTTAAATGCCAAAAAAAAAGAAGAGGAAAAAGAAAAGTGGTTTTATGTATAGAGACAGCTTGCTTAAGGTATCTAGGGACAATTTATATAAACCAAACATAGATTATATTGTAAAGATTATAGATTTTGATAACAGCCCCTTAAAACTTCGATATCAGACTTCCTAAAAAGGTCAAAATGAAATTATTTTCTTGAACTCGGCTGCTGATATTTACAAACCCAGTCCTTTATAAAGACAAAGATCTCTGTGGTATCAGTTGTAGAGACATTAATATTACAATAGATGTACAGTAAGATTTTGTTTCCTCGTCCCTATTACAAAGCCATTCTTCACCAACAAACTTACTGAGCAGACTGCTAATTTTTCTGGAATTAAGAGGCTGGGGTGAATTTGCACTATGTTTGTCTCACTTAATGAAGGTGGTTATATAAGAGTTGCTTCCCCTCAGCTGATTGAATTGTATTTCCCCTGCCACTTCTTGCTTTCCATGTGGCTTATAGATTATCAGAACAGAGTTTGCTGCATTTTCTTCTTTTCTTCTTGTATCTTTCCTCGAGGCTTATTAGCACAAAGTAGCTCTGAGCAATGGCTTGGACACCAGAGATTCTGAAAGCCTCAAACAGCCATAATAATGGAGTTGGATGAAGGATGCTGGTTGCCATGGGAACGGTGCATGTGCCACACAAGATAATGTAACTGCTGTAGTGCAGAGAGCCGTGCTGCATATTGATTGCAAGATTGCTCGAATTCCTCAGAAATGTTGTGCTTTGTGCCGGGTGCTCCACCTCAGCAAGTGAGAGAAGCTTATCAGCTGGACCTAATCCAGGGAGATTTTGGCAATTTGGAAAAAAAGCTGGCTTTTGTGTGTGAGGGGGAGAAGAAGGGTCAGAACTCCTTGAGAGTATTGTTGGGTCCACGACCTTTCCCTGTTGAGCTGACAGTGTCCTAACTGCTGTGTTAAATCAGAGTTAATGAAGTATTGGAACTGAGGCACCAGGGGTGACTGCCCTGAGTTAGAAGTGGCAACAGGAGGCCTTAGGAAACTGAACATCCACCTGTAAAATGTTTCTTATGGTGGCTGCTAACCTGGACACTTGCACGGTGTCACAGTGCCCCACTGCTCCTTTTTGGAGTGCTGCTGAAAAGTTCCTTTTCGTTCCAGCTTGCCAAGGAAGAATCTAATTAGTGGCATGGCTATGCAAAATACTGTGATTAAGAAATGTCATACTCACTGACAGCCAGGAGGATGAGGGCAGTATTGGGCATTTCACCATGCTCTAGGAAGGTAAAACACGAACTTCTTAATTTGGAGTAATTCTGTGTGAGAGCAGCCATAAAAATGAATATGGTTTTGCTATAATTCTGCAGTTCAAGTTTCTGGGTCTTAGAATGACAAAGAATCTCTAGTTATTGCCTCCATATCCCAGATCCTCACCAGCATAAACCAGCAAAGTTCCATGTGGTGGAAGGCAGTTGGGTCCACTGTTGCTCAGGATGATTGTGCAGATGAGGTAATGCAAATTAAAACTGTCCTTGTGATGTTATCCCCCTGGGAAAGGTGATGCCAGACATTCTCACTTGCTTTCAGCAGGATTTCTGGCAGTTGGCCACTTGTTAGGGAATGACTGTGTAATTATTGAACTTACAAGGCTTTTGGAAATTATGTATATTGTTTCATACCTACCTCATGCCGTTTGAATCTCTGGCTGTTGTCTGAATCTGCCTTAAAATTATCAAAACTTTGATTTAGTAAGGTTTTCTGTGTCAGCTGCAATAAGATCCTTATCTGGAGGTAGAGATTAGTAACTCAAAATGTATCTGATGTGTTATTTGTCAGAAACGTGGCTGAGAGGACATATTTAGAAATGCTGGGCTGCTGTGCCCTCTGGGCATCATTCACAGGTTTGTGTGACTTTGTTCTTCAGTATGGGTCATCTCAAACGTGGTGCTCACATAGTCATTGAATTTATTCTTGACTGCTATTTTTGGGTTTAGATCTAACCATGCCCCAGCAGAGCACCTGGTTTTATTGCCAGTTGAAAAAAAAAAACCTTGATTGTATAGGATCAGCTTCTCTGGAGTTCTTCGGGGCTTTTCTTGGGCTGAGATATCCTGGTTTATGACCAAGACATCTGCTTTGTAATGTACAGACAGTTACATTTTAGAGCGCTTAAACATAGCAAAGGAACTAGTCCTTCTCCAGTGGAACCTGGCTCTGGAGGTGTCCATCGTCCTGCAGCGTGGTTGAGCCTTGTGGCAGCGCTTGGTTGGAGCGGTGCCTCACGTGCCCTGTGGTCCCTTCCTGTGCAGCTCCTGTGTCCAGGAAGACCAGGAACTTCCTCCAGGTGTCCAGGAATCAGCCTGTCAGCTCTGCAAGTGTATGAATGTGCATAAACACACTCACATCACACGATGCATTTGTGCATGGACAGATACATACACGTACTCTGCTGCTCTCATCTCTTCCTACCATCAGTTATGCTCCTGCTGCTACTTGACAGTGTTTAAGATGACTGCTTGGATTAGGAAGTGCTTCAGTTAGGATCAAAGAGACCAAATTGGAATAGATTTTCATTTGTAGCTGGTTTTTTTTTTGGTCTGGTTTGGTTTGGTCTGGTTTGGTTTGGTCTGGTTTGGTTTGGTTTTTTTGGCCTGTGCTGTGCACCCAGCTGGAAATGGTTTGTCACCTTAACAAGGTGGTAACAACCCTCTGAATGAACATGTAGCCCTGGCACAG